GTCTGATCTGAAGTCTGATCTGAGGTCTGATCTGAGGTCTGATCTGAAGTCTGATCTGAAGTCTGATCTGAAGTCTGATCTGAGGTCTGATCTGAAGTCTGATCTGAGGTCTGATCTGAAGTCTGATCTGAGGTCTGATCTGAGGTCTGATCTGAAGTCTCCTGAGTTGCAGACGGCTGTCTTTGTGCTGCTGGATGGAGAGGAGAGCGCTGCACTGAACGTAATCACAACCCTCACATTTTATTTCATAATTACCACTAACGATGTACTTCATTAGCAGTTGTTAATTCGCCGTTTCTCCTTGGCATAGCATGCCTCCCAGGTTACTATGGCGACGGCTGCAGACACACCTGCACGTGCTTTAATGGAGCTTTCTGTAACCACGACAACGGACGCTGCACCTGTACCCCTGGTTTCTACGGCAACTTCTGCAAAAAAGGTAGGACCAGAGTAACAGGATCACGTGTAACGGGATTACGTAATCACGATACAAGAAAAGTAACAGTGTTCCCTTACCGTCATTAAAAACATATGTAATCAGATTACTGGTACATTTATACAAACTGGGTTTACTTGCAGGATTACAGTTTATCAATAAAGATCAACATATATTATTATTATTATTATTATTATTATATTCTTTGTTTAAATATATTGTTTTAATGCAGTTCGCTGGACGCCTGATCTATTAATTATGAAATAAAATGCTGTTTGCTTTTAATTCATATATTAAACTAAAACCTCTTTTTGTAACCTCTACTCCTCTGTATGTCCAGCCTAAAGAGGACACTTTCTGATCCTAAATGTCTTCTTTTCTAAAATCACATTGTTCTGTTATCTTATGTAATACACTTAAAAACATTTTATAGATGTGTTTTTTCTCTTGTATTTATTTGCATTGCGTTCGATGTTGAGGTAATCCCAAAGTAATGGAAAGTAATCAGATTACATTACATACTTACTGATCAGGTTTCTGATTTTGTACATGTTTTGTGTGACTGTCCGTCCTGTTCTTTTATCAAATTGGGGACCATGTTGCAAAGAAGTGTTCATATTCCACATGTTTTCACCATGGATGTTTAAAGAGAGAGCTTTGCAAAATGTGGCCAAATTTAACAATAAAATCCAAATCTTCCAACTGCCTTTCTTTTTAGGATAAACCTTCAAGAGGCTTTTTTGTGCGTCCCCCCATGCTTGATATACCTACCAAAAAACATCTTATTGTTATTTATTTTTATTTTTATTTATTTTGCATTGTGTTTGATGTTGAGGTAATCCAAAAGTCTTTATATTTTGATACTCAGATTAGGTTACTGATTAAATGTTTTTGTACAGGTAAATATGATTAGATTTTTAAATGAACCACCCTAACCCTGGGTAGGACAGGTATAACATATAATAAACATTTGTTTGGATTTAGAGCATAATGTTTTTTTTATTGTATTTAATCACAGGTCTTCTATTGTGAACGTTTTCAGGGCTGATAATGTTTTTTTATTAACTTAAACACATGTCTCCGTCAGTTTGCCATGCAGGTTTTTATGGTCTGTCCTGTGCTGAGGAGTGTGCGTGTGAAGACCC